CCAATAAATCAAAGAAATGTCCACAGCTCACGCGTGATGTTTCTTTTTATGCATACCCTTTTAAATATCATGATGATCCAGAAAAAAAAGGATAATTAAGGGCAAAGTGTATTGAGTAAGATTTTGGAAAGTGTGCACACATACAGAAGACTTTTTCTTTTGCAATACCTACTTCCTATTTTAACTTTATTATACTAGAACATCAATGCTACGAGCGTGCTCTACACCTTGATTCCTAATTTTTCTTGTATCATCTTGCTACTTACAGCCTCCTTTCTTGTTGCATTGCCGATGAATCATTAAAATATGTATATGTATGGAATAATAACTACTAAAGCAATCGATCCCCGTATGAATCAGTCAAATCACTACTTCACTTTTTCTTAAAGAAAAACATATATTTTTTCGTCCTTTTTTATATGAGTGAGTTCTGTTTTATGCGGATTACTTTAAAAATATTTGTATGTACTCACTGTACTAAACTATGTTCAAGAAAAGAAAATGGGAACATGTTTCACGTATTCAATAAACGCATGAATGAAACTAGTCTTTATCCAGGGAAACTATGCTTAATTGCAGGGTCATATAAACGGGAACCTGGTAGCTCTGTAAAACAATCATATGTATACGCATATATATATATATACGTATCCTTAAAATATATATAATTAATGGTTCGGGGTCATTTATATTTGTTAAACGGTAGAAAAGATTTTTTTACACTCTTATTGATTTATGTTTTATCTCGGTATCAATACCTGGTGTTTCCAAATGACCATACTAAAAACAATATTTTTTCAAAGACATTCTTGTTGATATACAGTGTAATTTGAATAGACTAAACTTTTTTAGTGCCTTCCCCTTTCTATGTTTGATTGCAACTTCACTTTTTTATGTGCACATATATATATAGCTCATTATCTTTGAAGTGTATACATATCTAAGACTGATTTTTCTAACCTCCTCACAAATGATATCGCAGTGGAAACTTCGGGCAACAGTCTGCACTCGTTTAGTTCCACTCTGCAGTGGAGTTGTGGCGGCCTGCGGTCCAAAATCCGCTTATGTAATAAACTCACAACATGATGAGGAGCTTTGCCGCTGCACAATGCCTGTGGAAGCAAGTACATATGCCCTTTGGATTCCTCAAGGGCTTAGCGCTAGACAAACAGCTGCTATTTATACTACAAATGATAATAAGCACATGATATCTGAGGTGTCTGAGACTGGTGATAAACGGAGCGCCACGTTGCCAAACCTATGTAGTGGTGTGTTTCTCTTAATGAATTCCTCTGCGCCAGCAGTACATTTTGCGTTAGAGGACCAGCCTCTCGAACGTGTTGAAGCTCTACAGGTACTTTTTCATACTGTTCTTGCTGTTAAAACGCGTCATGAAGTGATTTTTTACTATCTTGACCACGACTTAGTTAGTGCAGCAGCAGCTTCCATTAATGGAAAGCCACTTGCAACCTTGAGAAAAGTGGGTCCTGTGGTCATGCTCCCATATCAACAAAGCAATGTCGATACCAAAATTAGCGCAGCCGGGGTGGATGCCACGGCCGAGTCAAAAAAATTTGTAGTGGTTCAGACCAGTGCAGATTCCGACTTATGGGTGTGCCGTTTAGTTATTGACGGTCGAGTAGTGGTGCGGGAGGATCTCAAGTTACCCTTGGGTGGCGTACCGCTTCCGTCGTCCTGTGAGCTTCGCAGTTGGGCTGTAAACTGGGAAAAGGGGGAGCTGTTGGCGCTTGTGCACCAACACGAGGAGGAGGATAATACCACTGCAACCGTGCTTTCGCTGAGCTTTGATGGGGCCTACCCCGGGGTGATTTCAAAGACCTGGAGCACCCAACCTGTGGGTTTTTTGAGTGTCGAAAGCAGGCGTACCCTACAAACCGCGGATGTCTTGTGCTGTACAGATAAAGGGGAAGTATGGAGCGTGGATAGGACAACAGGGCCCAGTGTGTCGCTGTGCCACGTAAACAACCCCACTCTGACAGAGGAGTTACTACCTGGCAGTAGGGTATCGACCAAAGTGATGGCGGTGGCGTGCGGTGACATTATTTACGTCTTGGCGGGCTGCACCGTTTACTCAGTGCCTTCCACGTCTACAAGGAGTGGTGGTGATCTCATTACCCGAACTGACAACAACTTCCTCGGCTGGATTCAGCAACAGCAGTTGTCCCTACCAGAGAGCTCGGTTGAGCCTCAAAATCTGACTACACTTGTAGAGTGGCTTTCAGGTGGCGATAGGGACATTGAGAAAGACAAGGCACCCAAACACGTAGTAAGGGATTTTACATACATAGTCAAGGATTCGACATCCGCATCGTACCGCCACGCGGTGTTTGATGCACTGATGAATCGATTCTCTGAGCGTCAAGGTTGCAAAGAACCGCATGTCGGCTATTCCACTGCTCTGGTTTCTTACTTGATCACGTCCGAGTCGATCCATCCCTTTACCATATTTAAAGCTTTCCACCACGCTGATGCATCACTTGCCCTTAGCATTGCCGTGATACTATCACGTAAGGCAAACCTGTACCGAGGTAGTCTTCAACACGCACCCGAACTGATGCGTGCTGCAGCCGCATTCTTCTCATTTGACATTCAGCTCTCCATTGAAAAAAAACGGTATCTTGCAACAGTCTGCGAGACTGCACTCTCAGCCCTAGCTATCGGTGCTCTGGGTGCAGTTAGTATTCTGTTATGCATAGCCGACATGGGGATGCGACATATTTACGGCACCTGTTATCGCTCTGAGACGTGTCCACAATCAGCAGATACTGAATCGACCGTTGAGATGCGTAAGCTTGAGGGATTCATCGCTGAAGCGATAAATGTCATATCATCGTACTCGGAATGGGCACTCAACATAGCTGCCACATCGTTAGGCGTGATGTCGGCCCACATAGGAGAACCTAGTAACATCAAAAAGGAGGTCTGCATACGAGATGGTAGGTCCCATCCAATCGCTACTTCACGTTCTGTAGAGATCGAAGTTTTCAAACCTCGGCGTTCTTAGTTAGTAGTGATCACACTGACTTTCGTGCATATATATATATATATTCCACTTCTGAAAGGGCAGTGGCCTCATTAATTGTTTTCCGTTTGGGTTTCTTCCGTTGCCGATTAATAAAGATTAATGTTAAACTCTAATTAAAAGTTCATTTTTCGCCGGTAAGCTTGGGTTGTAATCTTACCATAGAGCATCCTAATAATAATAATATAAAAAGCATTTGCCTTTCTGTTTTGAGATTTTTAATATCTATAGTTCATCCTACTTGACTCCTAATGGTTCAAGTAGATACTATTTTATTCATCCAATTGTGTATGCTGCAAATATGTATTTTCCTTTCGTATCTCCGGTGGTTGGATTTTACTCTTCATATAAATAAAGTATGGTATTAAAAGTTTTTTTTTACAAATATTTAGAATATTGAATTTACGAAGAAAGTGCAAAACCACAAGAGAGAAAACTAAAAACAAGTGGGAAGCTACTCCCAGACATTACCACTCGTCTCATATCAACTTGCGGTATGTCGATCAAGCTTAACACAACGTCAATGTTTGGGACCAATAAGTCCTTGCTGAATACCTCTTCGCTGTGGCTTTCCTCCACCAACCCGGATAACAGATTGCCATCTCTTAGCAAATCGACGATGATTAAGGATGTATGGGCTGACAACCTTGAGAAGGAGTTCGCGGTTATTCGTTCACTCATTAAAGATTACCCTTTTGTTTCCATGGATACAGAATTTCCAGGTGTAGTAGCAAAGCCCGTAGGTAGTTTTAAAACGACACACGAGTTTTACTACCAGACTCTGCGATGCAACGTGAACTTGCTTAAAATAATCCAGCTAGGCATAACACTTCTCAACAGCAAGGGTGAAGTACCCGAGCACTGCTCTACATGGCAGTTTAATTTTCGCTTCAGCCTTAATGAAGACGTTTACGCACAGGATAGCATAGAGCTCCTGCGGCAAGGTGGCATCAATTTCGATCACTTCACCGCGTACGGCATTGAGGTGACGCACTTCGCTGAGCTTTTGATATCTAGTGGCCTGATCCTTAACCCGGATATACGCTGGATTGCTTTCCATGCGGTCTACGATTTCGGCTACTTGACCAAGATTGTGTGCAACAAGGATCTTCCTGAGAAGGAGGAGGATTTTCTCCAAATTTTCCACGCACTATTCCCAAGCGTGTTTGACATTAAGTATCTTCTTCGTTCCATGGAACTATCTCACTCAATCGGCCTTGATTCGCTGGCTGAGACGTTGAAATTACGCCGCTTTGGGACCGCTCACCAGGCTGGGAGTGATTGTCTACTGACAGGGCATTGTTATTTTAAGATCTTGCGGGATAATCTCGGCGGCATTACCCCTGTCTCCAGCAATGGCATCCTCTACGGCCTCAGCGAGGATGTCATGTCGTCTGCCACGCCCAGCAGCGCCCAGGCGGTTGCGCAAGTCAATCATAGTGAAAGTGGTCCACAGGGGTACAGCAGCCCTATGATGGGTTATGGTGGCACAAACCCAACGTTCCCATCTACACCCTTGCATGCCAATAGCTTTAAATAGAGATAAGTACTGTAGTGGTTTAGTTTCACTCCAATCTATCTTAGGAACAATCCCACTAAGCACTAACAATTAAACTAGCGCAAGAAATATGCTACCCCTTGAACAGTATATGCGAATTCTTCTTAGATGTATACCTAATTAGGGTCACAGTCATTTGCACAGCTATAAATACGAAAATGATACGTTCTGCCCTTTAAATCGTATTTCTTTTATGAAGATAATGAACATGACGCATTGCATATTTCCTACAGTATCTTACAAGTGAAAATTAATGTTCTCTATCTTTACAAAGTTATTAACTACCTTATTGACCCTAAATTTAAGCTTTTTGTAGTTGTTGTTTTTTCGAACATTTAATACATTCCTTTTAAAAGTGAACTTATATGATAGCAAAAAAAAATGAGTTTTGCGTTTTAGATAGAAAAATGATCTAATCTATTCCACATTATCCTATTCAACTTATTAGTTAAAAAAGGAAAACTAGTGTTCAAAGCCCAATTTGTGGCTTTTCTTTCACGTTTATTGTTACCGTTCATAACATTTTCTTGTGAGATCCATGTCAGCAGAAAGTAACTACAAAGCCAACGTGGCAGAAGTAAGCAGTTTTTGGTCAAACCCAGTGGATCACTTTCGGCCTAACCTAAAGGCTTTCACTGTATACACCGACCGTAACGAAGTCATAGATAAGTGGCATCGCTTTCTCCAGCGCCGGCTAGGTGCCTGGTACGTTCCGTGGTGGAGCCCACTCTATCAACTCTTACTTTGGTATCCACAGAGAAATCGTAACCTGTTTCTTATTGAAAATAACCTGAATTATAAGCCCTACCGCTTCCGCCGCAATGACGAAGACCGCAACAATCCCTACTAAGCAAATATAGAGGTTGCAGAGACGAGTTTACCTTTTGAATTTTTTTTACACTCTTCTGTGTGCGCATGCGGTCTTGAGGTTCTGCATCTTGGTGTAATCCCATATTAAATAACATTTGATGAGTTGCCGAACTCGTTGGTACATTTCTAATATGGCTTGCTTCACTTTGAAGTAACGATGAAAAATGAGACTAGTTCATTGTAGTATAATACCTTTATCTTACTTTCCATATACACTTCCAATACTAGTTAATGTAATCATGAAGAGGGAGGTGCTTGAAGAACATTGACACGCAGCCTGTTCCTAGAAATGATGATTTTTCAATGAATTAGTCTATTTCTTCCTTGCTTTTATTCTATATTTGGCACCCCCTTATTTAATTTCAAAGTTTGCTTGTTGAGTGCGATGGATATATGTATAGAAAAGCTGGACGGGATAGATAGTGTAACTTTAGCACTTATTACAGATTACATTACGGCATATCCCAATATACCCTTTGAGGTTGCTTACAAGTTAGCTGAATCAGAAAATAAAAACCCCACTCCAACAAAAAAGGTAGAACACTATCCGGGTTCCGAGCAAGATGGCATGAACACTACAGCAATTGGAGCTGAAGAAGGCAGTGAATTTGAAACACTCCAGCAAGGTTGGGAAGCGGTGATCTCATCAGGATCCACAAACGATTCACTAATGAACCTTATTTCCCAGACCAAGGCATTTCAGAGCAAGCGGCTTCACACTCTGCTACACACCGAGCGAAAGACTCGTCCTCTGGGAAAAGAGTCATCGATGATGCGAGACCTCTTGCGTAGCCTTCTGGAAAGTCTGTGCGATCGCTCTTTTTCGACCGAAGACGACCTTTGGTTAGCCTACCTGAAGCTACTTCCCTGTTTGCTGGAAGAGGTGGCTGTGGACTACGCGCCGATGAACACGGCGCAGGGCCCTACGGATCGCCTGAACTACGAACAGCTCTGGCACGCCGCCGAAGAGTGGCCGAATGCTCGCGAAATCGTAAGTCCTTACCGACGAGGGATTATTGAACCGCTGGAAAAGGAGCTCGTCTTTCATTTCCACCCTGGCCTTCAAACCGTACAGCGAAGCGAGCCACAGCATTTCTTTACCTTTCTCCTTGATCTTCTATGCCGAGTCGGTAATAGCGAAGCGGTATCGGCTGCTTTCTCACCAGGACTACCTGGACGAGTTGAACTCGTGGACTTTGGTCAACTACGACTGGGTTTAACAGCCGAGGCGATTCTCAGTGAGACCTATCAATGGAATCCACTATCCACTTCTTTTTTGTCCGACACCCCTTTTGCGTACGTCGTGCACTTTATCAACACATTTCTCGACTTTGTGGAGCAGGCCGAACGGCGTGTTTATTCACAGACGTTAGAATTTCTATCGGGGCGGGTGCTCGCGCCGCCGGCGATGCGGGTGTATCTCGCAAGGGGCAATCATATGGTGGAAAAGGCCTTAAAGTGCGGGACCGACGCACTATGGCGACGCCCCTTTCTCAATCCCGGGATCGAGGCACTCCCGTTTTATTTAAATACCGTACACTTTGTGCGGGGGGTGGACGCGTTCATTCAACGGTTGAGTGGGACCTTTCTTCATGTGGATCCCTCACGGGGAGGCGGGATGGTGCGGGAGTTCGTCGAGTCTGCCATCGGAACCTACGTGGCCTTCACCGAAGATCATCTGTCGTCGTGGGATGAAAGTGGGAACGACGACGACGATGTGAATTGGAATCATGTGTTGGAGATTCAAGAGGTGATTTTGAGTCTTTTCTTGGTTCTGACTGCCGCGGAGGGCTGGTTGGAGATGTTGAAATATCCGGAGACGAAGGGTTCTTGCGAACCGCCTGCAAACTGTTCCGCCGCTGCTTCTTTTGAACCTTTCAGCAAATTGGTGGCACACCGCGACGAGCAAATTCATAAATGTGCGTTGGAGGCTGAACGACTAGTAAAGCTTATGAGTAGACCGAGTGAAGTGCATCAGCCTAATTTAAGAGACTATGAAGATTTGGAAGTCTTGTTAGGCCACCTGTATCGCGTCCCATATGGATTCTCACTACTTGCTTTAGAAGCAGTGATAAAAGAGAAGTTTGAGGAATGCTTGACGGCCAAGGAACGTGAATCTCTACAGCGTCATCTCTCCTTATTTGGACTTCGGCACACATCCTGTTTGCTCGGATGAAGTATTTATGCACAAGAAAGGACAATTCAAAAAAAAAATTGCAGTAACAAATTTCGTGCTGAAATTTAAGATTTAAAATTGTTTGTATTTGAGTATTCAATACACCCCCTCCCTCTGATGATACTTCGATTTCAAATAATCGGTCTTTTTCCTTTCATCACACGTATGATCGTGGCGGTTACTAAATAAGCTCAAAAAGGGTACAGGGCTCAGTAAAAAATCCTGAGAAATTGTATATCGTTGCATATTTTTGGCAAAATGCGTTTCCCAAAAGAAAAGCTGTTCAAACACTTCATATATCGTAACGCGATACTATCGTCGATTCTCGAGATGGGAAGGTTTCCGCTTATGCGTGAGCTTTCCGAGTTAGGTCTGTTGACTCAGTCAAGCAACTTTGAATGGGTCAACGCCGACGCCTCACTTCATCCCTTCCGTGCGCTAGAGCTGGATGCCCTAAAGGATCTATCTGTGCTGACTGTCCCGTTGTTTCACGCATTGTTCTTTTCCTCCCTTTATCAAACTTTTGACCCCAGTCTTACCAAACGTGAGGCGGCGTTAATTAGCGGTTTGTCGGTCGCTGGGCATCGATGCATTTCGCGAATTTTGTCACTTTTCATGAATCCAAGTGTTGGATATCCCCACCCACGAAACTCGCCAAGCCTCATGCAAGGTGCTTCTAATCAGCCCAAGTGCGTTCATCTCAAAATAGCGGCACTACTTATTAATTCCATGACAGCGGATTCGCAGGTCGACACACAGTCTTTAGCGAGCGTTCTATATGAGGTAGACGTCTTACCGACGCAGGTTTTGGCGTCGTTTCTCTCGATTCCAGCCTCGCCCAAATTACTGAAGCTTATTGTGGATCACACGGTGAGGACAAACGGCGGTCACCTCGATGCCGCCCTTTTTCCGTTGCTGTTAGGGTCACTTTTGAGCAATGATAACTTCTTCACCGCATCATACTTTGATGCCATGCATGCGGTGGTTCGTAATCATGTCCTTCTTCACGTCGGTGGTAAAGGCATCCATTTCGACTATGTATCTGTCCGATGGACGCCGTTAATGAATAAATGGGCACGCGTGTATACAAAGAAATTAAAAGCCTATGAGCTCTACGAGTGCTATCAGATTCTCCTAGGGAACGTTCCTGCGGCGGAAACGAAGCTTCCGTGCAGCTTCTACGTCCGCCTCATTGGGTTAATAATGGACTGTGGGGTGAATAAGGACGCTGTGGGATCGCAGTCGCGGCGGGATTGCTGGGAGCGACTTCGGGAGGTTGCCGTTCAGGCGCTGCGGCTTTTCGGTGGCAATCCGAACGACCTGCGGGTGGTTTGGACGGTGCTTCTGAAGGCGGCGCTAACCTTGGAACCACTTAGTGATGACTGGCAGCGTACACTCGAGGCTTACCACATATGTGCCCAGTCTTGCCACCTCGTGAAGGTGGATCGGGGAGGTTTTCTGCAGGTAGTTCGACTGGTTGGCGCGACCATTGTGCGGGAGCCACTTGACGCCGTCGAGCAGGCGATTATTAAATTCTTGGAATTTTTGAAAGAACAGCGTAACGCGAGTTTCATGTGGTTGCTAGACGGTGTAGGGGTCTTGTTGAGTGATTTGTGGAATACGCACGGTGCCAAGGCGCGTCCACACGCGCTTCTCCTACAAGACGCATTACAAAAAATACTCAACGATCGAAATATCACCGGTGTAACTCTTGAAAATAACCCCACTATTAAGCGGACGTTGGAGTGGTTTTCTATCGGTGAGGCCACACCATTTTGGTGGCAGTGCGGTTGCGGGGCAGAATTGCCGGCCTCCTCCAAGCGCTGCATCGGCTGCCTCCGGAGCTCGACGAGCAAGATATCCTGGACGTGTGGTCAGTGTGGGGAATGCCATCGCTCGCCCTGTCATTGCCAGATCTGCAACTGTGGGGCCGTCAACCCGCGGTGTAGCATGGCCACCAAAAGCGGCTACGCTCTTTGCAAAGACTGCGGGGAGACCCTTGCGCGGGGTGACCTCTGCTGCCAGCGGTGTAAACAGCACAATATGAAGGCCTCTCAACGAGTAGTTTGTCGGCGTTGCCGCTCTTCACATGGTGCCAACAATCTGTACTGCCCTTTTTGTTTTATTGTGAATACCGAACGACCACTTCACCTGTGGCATTGCGGCGCCTGTCAGGAGTACAACTACTCGACGTGGTCCTCATGCCAGGGTTGCCGTGCAGTGCGGAAGGCAGAATGCATTACGATGCCCTTTTTGCCCTGGTTATGTGGCTGCGGGGCCGCAAACCACCCATGCCGGCTGGTCTGCGAAACTTGTTCGTCCGGTGTCCCCTCGGTAGGGGGTAAAAAAGAAAAAGCGAAAGCGCTTCCTTCGCCATCCTACACCTGCGTGGCGTGTCAAAATAAGTGCTTTATGGCAAATGTCACGCAAACCAAAATCACTATCGGGACCATTTCGCTTCGAATTCACATTTGTGAACACTGCAAAGTTGTCCACCCACGTGATCGCGTGGTGCTCTCTGCATCTTCCCTGTCGCGGCATTGCATGATCTGCAGTTCGGTGGTTGACCAGGAAAAAATTTCATCCGACGGCGAATTCTATCACTGTGGGGCTCTCCAACGACTAAATGAAAACATTCCCTTTCGCTGTTGTTATTGCAAAGAAACGACGTACCTCTCAGTTGGTTTTCACTGTAGCAACTGCGGTTGGCCTAGGCCGGAGATAGAGAATGTCAGTCAGCCATATTTCATCTGGCAGTGCCTAAAAGAGATTTTATCGGACTCGGCGTGTTGTGGAACGTGGAACTACAGCTGGTGCTCACAGTGCACGTCGTGTGGTCAAGGTCGATCAAACTCCCCGTGGGAATACCAAGCGCGTGCGTATTCGTGGCAATGTGATCGATGCCTCAACTTTAACCGCCCTATAGACGTCTTGAAGTGTAGCCACTGTGCGAAGGGTACCCAGCCAGCACTCATGTATCTTACAAACAATGAATCAAGTTTTACTCAGTGCAATATGACGACCTAGGGGGAGGGGGGGGGGGTATAGTGAATGCACGCAAAATTTTTATTCTTCACATTATTTGAAATCCTAAAATAAAACGACGCATCCTCAACCAGTGAGGTTTATAAATGATTCCCCTCCTTTTCATCATCACAGCCTTGTACGTCATTTTTCCCTGTTTTTCAACTGTGTTTTATTGTTGTTTCTCTTTGCGTCTTCAACAATGACTTTTCCTCCCGAAACCATTGTCATTTTTTTTTTTCACACAACCTGAAGTCTAACACCATCAAAATCTTATTATCATAATTTGCTTTATAAAACTATCTCATACACAAAAAAAAAATGTTACGCCGTTGCACCACCCGATGCGTGCCCAAGACCATGAAGGCTGCGGTATTCAAGGGAAAAAATCGCATTGTCCTGGACGAAAAACCCGTCCCTGTTCCCAAGCATTCCGAGGCCCTGATCAAAATCACCACCACCACCATCTGTGGCACGGACATTCACATCCTGAAGGGGGAGTATCCCGTAGCGGAGGGGCTGACCATCGGTCATGAGCCGATTGGCGTGATCGAGAGCTTCGGTGAGGGCGTGACGGGCTTCAAGAAGGGTCAGCGCATTGTGGTCGGGGCCATCACACCCTGCTCCAGCTGCTTCAGTTGCCTGCAGGGCATTCGCTCTCAGTGTGGGTCGAAACTGATGGGTGGGTGGAGGTTCGGCAACACGATTGACGGCTCACAGGCGGAGTATCTTATTATTCCGGATGCCATGGCTAATATGTATCCCGTTCCAGATGGCATCACCGACGAACAGATTCTGATGTGCCCTGACATTATGTCCACCGGGTTTTCAGGCCCAGAGTCAGCTAATGTAAAGGTTGGTGACTGTGTGGTCATTTACGCGCAGGGACCTATTGGCCTGGGGGCGACCGCAGGTGCCAAGATGATGGGGGCCACAAAAATCATCGTTGTTGATCGCTTTCCTGAACGCCTTGCGCTCGCAAAGAAACTCGGTGCCGACCACGCATTGGATTTCACGAAGTGCAATCCGGTTGAGGAGGTGATGCGATTGACTGAAGGTCGTGGCGTTGATGTGGCTATCGAGGCACTGGGTCTCCAAAGTACATTTGAGGGATGCCTACGCTGTCTAAAGCCAGGCGGTGTGCTGAGTTCCCTCGGCGTGTATAGCGAGGATTTGAAGCTACCACTGGATGCGTTTGCGGCAGGACTCGGTGACTTCAAAATCGTCACGACGCTGTGCCCTGGGGGAAAAGAACGCATGCGTCGTTTACTCAGTGTGATTGAATCCGGACGCGTCGACATGAGGCCTATGGTAACACACACCTTCAAGTTGGATGATATCGAAAAGGCTTATGACATTTTTGGAGGCCAACGCGATGGTGTTCTCAAAGTAGCTATCAAACCATAATTTTTTTAATTTAGGCTAATTTATCTATTTTTGTTTGTCTTTGCTTTCTTATGGGCAAATATATCATGCCCAATTTTACTTTAATATAATAGAACGGAAGCGACTTTTATTAATATTCAGGATCAAAATTCTCTATCAAAAAAAGCGTTATCTTTATTTCTGGCTAAAATAGGAAATTTACTGTACTTTCAAAATATATAAAAATTATTTATTTAAAAGGAAAGAAGTTAATATGCTTGTGATATTCCGCAGCGATTCTTTCGTCTTTGAATATTTTGGGGGGAAATAAAAATTTATTTATTTGATGCAAAAAAAATTACACGTTGGAAATAGCATTAATTTCATTCTTAGGCAAATCAAAAATATTTTGCATCCCTTTCAAAACATATTAAATTTATTGTGCGCAGTGTATTCTATATTTTATTACTTTTTTTTTCTCCTCTGTCTTTTGTTTTTTTATTATCTCATTCAAAACAAGCAGCTCCGTTTATGATCCAAAACGCGGATAACTTTACCAAATCATCTCTGAGACCGTGGTGTCATTAAAATGATTTCGCTAACTTCATGATTGTTACTTATGGTTTATTGATAAATTTAGTCTGAGTTTTTTGGGATTCATTAACATCAACTCACCAGAGATTTTCCCTGTTTTATGGCCTAACTATATCACAGGCTTCAGTGCTTAATATCTTGCTTCAAATCGAACGCTATTGTGGATTGATCATATTCTTTTTAATTCACTGACTTTAGAATTCTGGCAATTTATGATAATAGTGAACACTGCCGCATCAATGGCTTTGCCGCAGCCGATTTTGGGGGGTCAGGCTTGACACTGAGAAGGTTGTGCAAACTTTGAGTGCAGGGTGTGTAAATTGCTACACTCAGCCTTCACTTGCGGTTATGTATTTATACTAGAATTTCTAGCATTCATAATCCATATATAGATATTGTTTAGTAGCTGATGTGCGGTTGAAAGCTTGGAGTAAGCAATTGGGACATAGGAGAAAATATTTTGGTTCAACAAAATATTCGTTGGGGCTTGAAACGCAGTATAGAAGGTAGCCAAATCCACTCCTTTTGAAGCTATTTTTGCTTCGGAAAGGGTCTCTGAGCTACTATTTTATTTTATTTTGTGTTTGTTATCAGGATTTTACCATCAAATCGATAGGAAACCTCTGCAATGTCGATTACCATTTGGGTAATGAACTTGGATGGAGGTCTTATTCGGAGTTTCTTTTGAGGATTTGCTTCGCGTTGTTTGCGGGGCCTTGCGCTGATTCTCTTTATCCTTCAAGCATGAGATGGCGCAGCGCGGGGGACCACCACATGCATAATCTAAGCCATAGGTTCCCAACCCCGTTGATATTGTGGATGCATTTTTCTCGATAAGCTTACTAGAAAACAAGGCATGGAAAGTCGAACAGGAAATGAGGCGCTTAGTTTTTGCCAGTATACAGTAGATGGGGTCTTCATAGAGTTCCTGATTCAACTGGATCTTTAACGTGCTGGAAGCTATTTTGGCCGTTTTTCACGGAAATAGAAAACTTTTTCCAAATACTTGTCTAGGTATTTTGTTTAGGGACTATATTTAACAAATTTTTGGGACTTGGTTCATTATTTGTGTGTTCGAAACCTTTTAAAAGATTACACATTAAACTAAGCCGAAAAGTGTTTTTCAGCAAAACAGCAAAGAAGTAGAGCAATCGTAGTTTATACTTTTGAAAGCGTTGATATTAACAGTGATAAATGGAATGTTAAATGGCCGTTTTTGCTTTTTTTTAGGAACAAAGATGTAACTTTAAAGAATAGTGAAAAATTCTATTTTCTAATAGAACCCATCGGTGCATCAGGTGGGTTTGAAAAAAAAGCAATGCTCTGAAGGGAAGGCGGCGCAGGCCCCATCCATTTAAGCTATCTTAAGCGAATAAGGTAAAAAATGAACTGCAATAATTATGTGAAAATGAATAGCGCGAAAAAGAATATGGACTCAGACGCCAAATAAAAAACAAGGGGGATTTAAAAGGAAGAGCGTGACCTTTTGGCCAATTGAGCTAAAACAACCTTTGTTTTTTTTCGCGCTGCAAACAGGCGTGCGAGAAAAATGCCCCATAGGTCTTTCAACGCTCCCTGCCCTTTTCACAAAGAAAACCCTGTGTGCGCGTTCGAGGCAAGGCCTTTCCGATGGAACTGATGCGCGGAATGGTTCCCGATGAAGGGCGAGGGGCTCTTTCGCTCTGGATCTCGAGCGCGGGGAGCCCCCGACCAAAGCCCGCCCTTTGTTGGGCAATGAAAGGTTTCCCCCCATAAAGTGGAACATAAAAAGCCTTTTATAAAATCATGTTGACTATTTGGCGTTTTTGCTGGTATTATTTTATCGATTTGCATTGAATGTGGCTCAATCGCCCGTTTTTAGGCTTTGGATTTTAGATAAAATTTTCAAGAGCATTTGGCGAATTACTAAAAATAGCCAAACCCATGGCAAACGTTTTTTTCATACCCAATGGGTAGGGAAATTTTGGCATCGGGCTGGCACTTTCTTTACTAACGAATAAGTTTTTTCTTTGAATCCTCAAGGAATTGCCCCGGATTTAGATCATTGTGGGCGACGCTTTGGTTCTTTGCCACT